TCTATCACTACCGCTGTCTTCTGGTCTTTGTCTGCTACCACGATGTCTGGTTGATTGGCCAGTACCTGCCTGTCCGTCTGGATCGGGAAGCCCCACAAGATCTTAGCCCTGTTATTCTCCACGACCTTCTGTGGAATCTCCCATCTGGACTTGGGAGGGTCTAGCCCGTACACTGTGCAGGTGTTCCTATACACAATGCCAGCTACTTGGTTGTGTATGCTGTTCTTGCCTGCATCATTCAGAGATAGATGGAGATAGAGATAAAAATATTTATTTAATTAATTAATTAATTAATTAATTAAATTTGTATGCTGCCCATCTCCCTCAGTGGGTGACTCTGGGAGGCTCAAGTAGACTAGGTTAAAAGGCAGCATTGTGGGTGCCTTACAGAAGAGCAACTATTTATAACCCCCTTACTCTGAAAGTAAGAATTGTTCCCCCAAAGTGGGTCAGACTGTCTACAAACGGAGCGGCTTGAGGTTAGCCACAGCAAGTTTGCCTCTTGCTGGCAGGGAGGTCAAGGGGGATGGGAAGATTTGCGGTGAACAGACCAGGAGGAGGAGAGCTTAGAAGAACAAAAGAGGGGGGTGGGAGAGAAAGTCACAGAAGGGAATAGAACTAAATTTTTAAAAATGAGGTTAAGACAATATTTGTCCCTAGAATTCGTCATTCAGGAACCTAGGCTGTATAGTTCGGGAAAGACGAAATCTTAACTGCCTCGATTTATCTTTAGCACTTGAATTTTGGAGACAATCAATGGGAATGATGTTTAAAGTTAAAGAGCGTAGAAACCAGGAGGCCCTCTAAGGGAACCAGTTCTAAAGAGGTTTACTCAACGGGGGTCGGGAGGGGGGAGAACGTTCCACTTTTCTTTTCTTTTTCTTTTAAAAGTCCTGGTGTTTTAAATACGTTGCTTAGTACGAAATGTTTCTTGCTAATGTTTGCTTTGAATGTACAAAAGTGCCAGTCTTGATCATATCCAGCCAGCTGGAAAAGGCTGAGCTTTAAAACAAAACTATCTTCATATTGAAAGTGTTCTCAGCCAGCAAGGGAAAAAGAAATCTAATTGCTGCACAGTAGAAGTAATTTAAATTCTCTGCTGAGGCCCAGGAAAGATGAAGATACAGTAAGAGCTGGGGAAATCTTTCACAACATGATTTAGGAGCCAAAATCTAACTGAAGTGTTCTTGTAAACATGCCCAATGATGGGAAGTGCCATCTTTCTATAAAGGAAGTCCCCTCCACGAGATCATACATGAGTTGCCTTCTCTGTTAAACTTGGTTTTTATAATCCGTGGCAGTCCTTTGTCCTGGTTTGGACACAGGACAAGAGACTAACGCTGTGTTGAAAACTGTTTCACAACAACTCTTCACTCACAACAATTTTCACTCAGCTTGATGGAAAATAAATTTTATTTTATTTTCCCCAAGGACTAGAAACGTTTCAACGGACTGCACATAAATGCTACATGGGGTTTTGTTTCTTACGTTAATTGGAGGGCGGCCGCTGAGAGGAGAATATGAGTGTCTAGTCTTCCATACCACATTCTCCTGGCAAGCCTGCAACTTTCTTGGCTGATCCCATCTTCATTTAGAAAGTATTTCTCTACCCCCATGTTCCAAGTGACTAACCATATTTTCATTAAAAGAGTAGGGAATTATTCTCAAGTGCCTTTTTCCAAGTAGGATGTGGGAAGGCTGCAGAGGCATTCATAGGGGTGGGAGTGGGCAGGGGGAGTTTGTAAAAAAAAACTCAAGATGGTGGCTACAACTATGTGAATGGAGCCCTGCCCCTTTTTACATGTGTCATTGGGCCTGCTGTGGAGTGAAGAAGAGCAACGTCTGTGAAACCAAACCAAGCCAGAAATCGATGCAGGTGGTCCCCAGTTTAAGAACAACTTCTGTTCCCAAGGTCTGTCCTTAAGTCAAATTTGTATGTAAGCCAGAACAGTATTATTGTATAATACTGTATAAGTATTATATAACACCGCTGTTACACGAGCTGCCTTGGTTGCCAGTTTGCTTCCAGGTCCAATTCAAGGTGTTGGTTATCACCTTCATGGCAGAGGACCAAGTTATCTGAGGAGCTGTCTCGCCCATTAGATCAGCCCGCTCCACTCGGTCTGGCAGAAGGGGCATGCTGCAGACCCCACCAGTCAAGGAATTTTGACTGGTGGGGTCCAGGCAGAGGGCCTTTTCTGCTGCGGCCCCCCTTCTATGGAATAACCTACCTCCTGGGGTGCAGTGTGCCCCCACTCTCATGGCCTTCAGGAAGAGCCTGAAATCCTGGCTATGCCAAATGGCCTGGGGGCCGGATGGGGGCTCTTATCGGTGGAAGTGGCTTGTGGAGTAATTGATTCTTCCCCCCTCCCATCATCTTGAATGTTTTTAGTTTTTATGTATAGGGTTTGCTTAGTGTTTGACCTTTTAATTGATTAATCAATTTTATTTAATTAATGTGTATTTATTTTTTAAATTGTTTGTGGATGTTGTTTTAATTGTGAGCCGCCCAGATTCACCCGCTGGGGGAGATGGGTGGCATACAAGTTTAATAAATAAATAAAAATATAAATAATAAATAAATAAATAAATAAGGATTGTGCTGTGAACCTGAACCATTGTGCATTTAACTTGAATTTTGCTACAATAGGCTCTGTTCTTAACTATGGGTCATCCTTAAACTGG